CTTCCATCTTTTTTTATTTTCGAGTGATGTTTCTTCAATTATTCTTGTATAATTTAATTATAAAAATGTTAGGCTAAATATTTCATTGTATTGGATGAATGATGAACCATATTGTTTGTTTATTTTTAACTCAAGACAATTAGTTTAAAATTTCTAATTTTTTCTTGATTGATTTTACATTCCATTGAATTATTTGATTGCTTGATCGCCAACTATATAATAAGTTATTTATTGTAGTGTATGAATACTAACAATAAGTTTAGAACGCGACAAAATCAAAACATCGACAATAGGTATTAGGAATAATGTATATGACACCTGCAATCATGTGTGATAAATCATTTGATAGATTTAATATATTTTGAAAAAGAATATTAAATGTCTATTTACGTCAGATTAAAATCTGACTTTAATTTAAGTTAAAGTCAAACAATCAATATCAACCACATCTTTCATGGGTTCCACATCTTTTCAACCACACATTTCAAAAATTTCTATCACAATCCATTAAAAATCTGATTCTAATCAACACTAAACACCCTCTAAATAATAATGGGTTATCGATTGTTTTGAATGCATAAATTTATTAGATTAGGAATTAAGAACTAAATTAAATGGTAATAGGGGATTCACAATTCCAATACAAATATTTATATATTAAATAAATACTTTATTTGTTTTGTTATTTTATGATTAATATAGAAAACATACTAATCATCTCTTTTGACGTCACCACACTTCGAATTTAGTAGTAGCTATTCAACTACAAATTAAACATTTTTTTCTCGTAGAATGATATTCTTAACTCATAAATTTTATTATTTGTACAACGATTCCTTACGCTTGCGGGTTTACTCCAAACACATAAACTTAAATCCATCTATGAATTTCACTCAATGGAAAAATGAGTTACCATTGGATTAGTTCAAGAAAGACTTCTGTGGCAGCGTGCACTATGATGGTATTTTATACCTATTTAGTAGGATATGGAGACCTCTGTTCCAGGAATTTTGACCCTGTTAAATTTCTCGTCACTTTCCAACGTGGTAGCAATGATATATGTCGGTGTGATTCTGCAGAGGCATGACAAATTGAATTGACTGTAAACCTGTGGCGGACCCAGCATCCAAGTTCAGCCCGGGCCTCTTAAGAAATTGAAACCAGCTGTATAGATTGTAGAAAATGAAGGAAAACAAAATTAAAAGTGCAGAAAACTAAAACTGAAATTAAAAGATAGATTCAATATGATGAAACACATTGAAGGAACTTGAGAAGGAGAAGATTTATTATTCATCAAGCTCAAATGTAAAGGTGAATGCAATGCTCTATTTATAGAGTGAATTCATAACTGCATAACAAACTAAAGACGGATCTACAATAATATTCACGTGCTGGACGTGTGATCTCATAAGCTGGTGACTAGTGAGCTGGAGAACATGTGCTGGAGAAGATGCTGGGAATACGTGATCTGATCTTGGGTCTAGAATATTCCAACACTCTCCCCTCAAGATAGAACATCTTGAACTGTGGGGAGAAAAATAGAGCTGCAAGAGAAGCTGTTGGAAGAAAATCCTGGGGTTGAATACAATTGAATGTCCAGCAGAAAGGCATTCCAGAGAAGAAAAAATTAGCAACATAAAAATCGGAATAAATGAGCATCCATGGCTCTGAAACCAAGAATTTGCTGAAAAACATCATCACTATTGATGAATGAAAGAAGAACTGGAAATGCAAAATGAACTCCAGCAATGACTGGAAGTAAAACGACCAGTGCAACTCCTTGCCTCTGCAAGCATTTAAACAATCACATGGCGGACGAGAATGAATAAGAAGGCAGTGTCCTTCAGAACTCCATGGTCAGGCCATTCTAGATACTGAATATGAAGAGCCAGCAGTAACACAGAGATAGATTCAATCCAGCAATGAAACCATGATAAACAAATACAAAATGGAACCAGCAAGAACAAAAAGAAAGCAGCAGCAGCTGGAAGCAATTTGCTCTGATACCATCTTAAGAAATTGAAACCAGCTGTATAGATTGTAGAAAATGAAGGAAAACAAAATTAAAAGTGCAGAAAACTAAAACTGAAATTAAAAGATAGATTCAATATGATGAAACACATTGAAGGAACTTGAGAAGGAGAAGATTTATTATTCATCAAGCTCAAATGTAAAGGTGAATGCAATGCTCTATTTATAGATTGAATTCATAACTGCATAACAAACTAAAGACGGATCTAGAATAATATTCACGTGCTGGACGTGTGATCTCATAAGCTGGTGACTAGTGAGCTGGAGAAGATGCTGGGAATACGTGATCTGATCTTGGGTCCAGAATATATTCCAACAGGGCTCGGGCGGACGTTGATCAATGAACGTCGACAATCAACGATCGTAAAACGAGGTCGTTATATTTTGTAATTAATAAGTTTTCATAACCATCCAAATATTACAGAATGTTAACCACATATTTATACAAAAAAATGGCAGGCAAACGAAAATTGATTCAATATACGAACACATATAGACAGCAATAAGCACATACAAGAAGAAAGAAAAAAGGGATCCGGTTTGATCATCCCAGCACAGGCTGTTCAATTTCTTCATTTCACACTCATCTTGCCATGAATAGCCCAAATATTCCAATGCAAAATTCCATATAGTAATCATTAATCATTTTAACTGGAGAACTACTCAAAATAATAAGATGAAATAATGAGTTCGATATTGGGATACAGAAACTAAAAGTAAAAAGGAACAAACCAGTTATGAAATGTGCTTTGATATGGATAATGGTGGATTCCATGAAGCCTTTTCTTGGCTCTTGACATGAATAATACCATGAATTCTCAACTTTACCACTTCAACTTTTCTGTGTTGTGGTGCCCATATAAATAATGATTAATTACTTGCTAGCATAAAGAACAAATTTAATTACCAAATACCAATTCCAATTTCCAAACTCGAAATCCAATTCCAATTCCCCCAATTTTCCTAATTACAATTCATAAATCATACTTGAAAGTTGAAACAAACTGAAAAATATCATGATTTCATAACTCATAAATAGATAATAATAAAAAAAACGACGTGCAGTCAGACAGAAATGAAAAATCTCATGGGCTCACGGCGTTCGTTCGCAAATCTCACTTCGCAGCAGTTCAAACTGGCGCCGGCCGGTGGTGGTGGAGAAGATGGTAGGCGGGATGTGGTGGATCTCGCGACAGGATGATGAAGGCAGGAAGAATCGCGAAGGCTGAGACGCTGAAGGTGAAATCGTGAAGAGGAAATAGTGAATGAAATGAATTTGTGGTCCAAACATTTTCTTTTAATTGAGGAAAAAGAGTTGGGCTCGTGGGCTGGACCATATATAAAGTATTGGACTATTGGGCTGAAGAACAAAACAACCCGGCGGAAGAGAAAAAGAACCTGTTACTGGCGTCGTCCGTCACCTCCCAAAAATTCTTCCGGCGGAGCCCAGCACGTGCACTCCCCCCCTCCCGATTGGGTGCTAGGTCCGCCACTGCTGTAAGCCATATATAACCGTAGTCGTTATCGATTTGTTTTGAGTTTTATTGCTTTATTAAAGGTTGAACCCCAACATTGAGGCCCCCCATCGCCCCGCCCCTAAAACATCGTGGAAGAGGTAAATCTCAGGATATGGCTCAGCAAGCCAGTGTACAGAGCTGCCGTACTGGTGCCCACAAAAAGTCCAATTCCAAACCTTGTTTTAGAGATAGGAATCGAACCCTCACACTACGACTGTCAGCTCAACTGAGATTACCTCACCCATGTCCTTTACACCACTGAGCTATACCTTGAGGGGCAAATTTAACCACTAGGACATTGAATGATATTAAAATATTTGAATTGCAAGTTTTATTGCTTTATTAATTTGCAAGTGTTTTATACTCATTTTAATCTCATTCTCATTCTCATTTTTTTTCTTTCTTCGTTTTAACCACACATTCTCCAAATAAAATAATATTACACACAAATCTAAAATTTTTCATTACTTTTTCGCCACACATCCTCCCATCACTGTTTCAAAAATTTCATTTTCATTTTAGCCCTTGTTTGAAACCCATTTTTAGAAGAAAAGAAATTTTGGAATAGTGATTGATGTGAGAATGTGTGGTGAAAAAGTGATGAAATTTTTTTGATTTGTGTGTAATATTGGGAGAATGTGTGGTTAAAATGAAGAATGAAAATGAAAATGAGAATGAGAATGAGAAATTAATGGGTGTCAAATGGGGGCACAATGAGATTCAAACACACCCAATTCGAGAATACTGACTATGGGCGCTTTGCCATTTGTCTCGTAAAGTTTTCTCACAGTTTTCTACAGTTTGCTTTAATGTTCTGCTAGATTTTATTTAATCATTTTTTATTTTTTTTGCTGTAAACAGATGGAAAAGATTCCAACAGATGAAATTCTGCTGAGTTATCAGAGGAGGCTGTTGAGGTGCTTTTGGAAATTCTTTCTATGGAGTCTTCGGCGAAGTTTGAGGGTTGGTCTTAGATTATTCAAGTTATAATTTCATTTTTGTCATTTCTCTCTTTCGTTAGGAAGTTTGGATAGTGGAATTGATTTGTGCCATTTTCCTTGATTTTCTCTGGCTATTTCTGGCTTTGGCTTGTAAATTAGGATCTCGCATGCTAAGTCAATCCACAAATTGGGCCAGAGTTTGTCGTACTTATTGTAGAATCAAGCAACATGTACCGGAAATGACAATTTGGAGACATTAAGACTGGAGAAATTGATCGAGGACTGCAGCTGCAAATTTCCCTAATTTTCAATGGCTTCTTTTCATCTTCTGTCATGGGTTTAAAACTGCAGCTGCAAATTTTCCTTATTTTTAATGGCTTCTTTTATTCTTCTGTCATGTGTTTAATAGTTACCTGAGGTCAGTTGGGAAGTGATTGCATCAGCAAGAGTGTTATATTTGAATCAACTGTAATTTATTATGGTACATTTTGCTTTTGTTGTAACGAAACTTATGGATTCTGTGAAAGCACTTGATGACTTAAAGCAACTATTTTCGCTTGCTGAAAAGTATGGTTACTCTGAGTGGATTCAGTTTGATGCATCCACTGTCCGTTGTCTAGCTTATTACACGGTAGTCGTATTCGAGGTAAAATTTATAAAGCTTTTTTTGCACATTTCTTTCTCCCACATCTCAAGCTTTCCCAATATGTTTTCTGCCGGTTTCATAAATATGCAATTCAAGTATATTTGTGTTATTATTTTGTCATCAAATTCATAAATCTGATTTACATATATTTGTTGGAGATATTACACCGATAATGTGCATATTATATTAATCAAGAACATTTGCATGAAATCGAAATACTATTCGATTTACCGAAATCTGATTTGAGAAGACAAATTAGTAAATTACTGACTTTGAATATAAGAATATGGATTCATCGCTTCCCAGTCTTGAACGCACCTCTCTTTAATTCAAACATTTCAATAAAACACATAAATAAATTAACTATATTCTGAAATCAAGCATAAATAAAATCAGAAATGAAAAATATTTATCTGTAAGAGGAAGTTCAGAAAATCTTGTTTCTTTAGAAGTATATTTTTACTTAATTTCCAAAAAAAGTTCTTTTGCTGTGTTCTTTGTCTTAACCAAACATGCTCTAAATATCCGAGTTCAATTTTTTATTATGCAGCTGCTCAAAGAGAGAGGACTTGGCCTCCAGATATAAAACATTGTCTGCTCGTTGGATATGGATCTCCAGGATGCAGCTTCTGCAATTGCTGCTAAACTCAGGGAAAAAGTTCAAAGTGTTGTCTTGGTTTTGGAAAATAAACCCCTTAAAAATGGTATGCCAGATTTCATAATACCTATGATTTCATAATACGTATGTCTAAAAGTTAATTTCTTTAGTTCATTATCTCGTGTTCCATATCCTTTGTTTCTTGTACCATCCCAATATTAACATTCGCTTCTTTTGTATGTTTGTCGTTCCTTTATTTTAATTTATATTATTTCTTTTGGTTTATAATCTCCAGGGTGTTTAAAAGGGCGAGCGCGAATAAATGCTCACACGCTGATATTAGTGGGTAGTACGGAGTGGCAAAACGGTGTGGTTGGAGTCTAGATTCTTTCATCTGGCGAACAATATGAGATTAAAGTTGATGAACTAGAATAGCAATGTCACATTATAATGCCCAAAGCTGTACCTTTTTACGTTTATCTTGACATATTGACCAATTCCAGTCTTGTCATCAGTTTCTAAATTTCTCGATCTTATTGTAGACGAGGAACTTCACATCTGTAACAACTTAGCATCTAGAATTTGAAAAAAAAATAGTGTATTGTTTAGTTGAATATAATTCACTTGAACTATTCACAATATACTGATTTGTTGTACCTCTATTGGTTTGCATTTATAATTGCTACCACGTCCAGAAGTATTGAACTCTTAAGAAGAAATTCTCGATATGCTCACAGAACAAGATTTACAATGTAGTGTTGTGGCCTTTTTTTTTGTTTTTATGGCAGTAGAAGGTTTTTGATGTTGGATTATGGCTAACATTGGTGAAATGCAATGTTTTTCTTCAGTTATTTTCTGCAGCCATTATGTTGCTAGATTCATAATCATGCCTGCGTTTATTAAATTTTCAGTTTATCTTTCGGTTGATATGGGAATGTGATGTTTTAGTTATGCTGGAAACTTGGAATTCATTCATCAATGTTCCCCTTGAACGAGGGATGTCGAGAGGAATGATTTTTTACGCAGCCCGTTGATGTTATGTATAAAGTGCATGTTTGATATGTAGTATTGAACTGTTATTTCACCCTACTAATCTAGGCGAAAAAGTTGTTATATAACTTGTTCATAAGAGTGTTTCATGATATGTCAAGTCGAAATCCATTATTTCCAATCTATGCATGAGAATAATTGCATTTTATCACTTGGGGTACCAAACTGATGAAGACATCACCTAATTTGCAATTGAAAATGCTTCTTTTGAACCCACTTTTGCGTCCCTTAAAGTTTGTACAACTTTTTGGGTAATGTGATTATAAAGAATTGGTTATTAGTGCTTCATAATGAAAAAGGGAAAGTCTATCTAATCCAAATTTTCATTTTTCAACCAGGCATATATATCTAGTTGCATCGTTGGTCTCCAACTTAATGATTTAGCAACAAGTTGGTCGCTAGAAACGAGAAAGTTTGTTCAGAACCTAACATATTTTTGAATAATCAATCTTAATGATATAAATCGTCCAATTTTTCCTTCAAAATTTACATGGTCGTCGTAAGAACATGCCTCCTTCGAATAATTTTAAACCAATATGGATAAAGAAGCTTATAAAGTTGGACTTGTGATTGCCATGTAATGAATATAACAAAGATTTGGAAGGTTTTCAGTCTGTACAAACTAATTGTGCAATTAAATAAAAAAATTAGGGGTCAACTTGCTCTCTTTTAAAGGTGTTGACCAACTTGCTACTGATACAAAAGTTTAGGGACAAATGGCAAACCTTTCGTGTTTTTAGTATTTTGGGTGCATCGAATAATCCCAAATAATTAAATAAATCGAAGCATTTTGGAAAATAATAAGTCGAATATAAAATCTTAAATTGGAAAGTACTGATTCCACTTATGCTTTTTTTTTTTTTTTTTTTT